GGGAAAGAGGGAAGAGGAAGCAGTGGCGACGGTGATTGCGTTGTGGTGTGGGGAGTTGTCGTTTTGAGAATAGTGTTTTGCTGTTGGTTAGTCGTTTGTGTTGTGTTTTGTTTTGTTTCCTGCGTTTTGGTTTTGCAGAGAGAAAGATTGTGACGGTTTTTGTGGAGGAGGGAGAGAGAGAGGGTTAGCTTTTGTTTGTTTTGTTCGAACTTTAGAGAGAGTCCAAGTTACGAAGGCAAGAATTTGTACTTTTGTAGATTGAAAAAAATATATATGTTTTTCTTTTTTAATTTTAATCTATATTTCTTTTTGTAAAGAGAGGGAAAAAAATAAAAAATATATATATATACTACTCCACATCAACGAGTGTTAGTGGTGGACTATAGAATTATGGTGAGAAAGGTGCAAGGTAGGTGTAGTAGGTCTTAAATTTCTGCTGCAACAAAACTCTAATTAAATAAACTTTTAATGAAAAATATTATTAATTTATTTATTTATTTAAGATTTTGGTCAAAAAAATATTTAAATTTTCCAGTCAAAGAAATAAATAAATTTTCAATATTGGGAAGGAGAATATCTATGCACTCACGGTTGCTCTATCAATCCATAGTTACTATAAAAAATTTAATAAGTTAACTTTTTTCTTTTATATTATTAAAAAATAGATAATTGATATTACTTGGACTTGGGAGTTTATATATAAGTTCAATTTTCCAGTTCATAACTTTTTTTTTTTTTTGCTGTCAAAAGAAATAGTTATTTTTATAATAAAAAATTGTTGAATAATTATTTTCATAAATTAATTAAAATAATGTATAATTTATAAACTAATTTTTTTCTTTTCTTACTGATTTAATTCTAATGGAATTTTATTTTCTTAATTTAGAAACTATTTTACTTCATTTTCTAATATGATTATTCTTTCACTCTCGTAATTAAATAAATGAATATTTTATAATAGTTGGTTACTTTATTAATTAATTTTATTAAATACTTTAAATTTAATTGATTAATATGTAAATTTATTACTAATTAGTATGCATGTTTATTATATGTTATATAATTGAAATTTATAATAAATTATATATATATATACTCTGGTCAAGGGGGCGTTTAAGATTTTTCTCCTAGGTCAAACCTCCCAAGCCAGAGCATTCAAGAGTGTAATCTATATAATAATATATATATATATATTCATAAAATTTATATATATATATATATATATTTATTTAAGTAATAAATTATATTTTAGATTATGATAATTTATATTATAACAAGAAAAATTATTTATTTTGATAATTTATATTAAAATATTAATATTTAATTTATAAATAATTATGATAACAAAAATTGAATTAAATATAAAATTAAAAATATTTCTACAATCTTCTTATTGAAGAAAGTTGTTAAAAATATTCTCGTAATATTAAACATAAATCTCTACTTAATACAAGAGTGTTTATGAATCTCTAACTAATACAAGAGTGTTTTTAATAATTTTTTCTTCAATAAAAAAAGTTTTAAGAGTTTTTTTAATATTCTATTTAATTTAATTTTTATTTATATAATTATTTATATATTAAATTTAAATATAAATTATATATCTAAAACATTTTATTTTTATAAATTTTAAATATAATTTATATATTTAAATATAATATTTATTTGTATGTACCAATTTTAATAATTATTTTTTATTTTTATTTTTATATAAATTATTTTATTTTTTATTTGCTTTTTAATAATTATCTTTTTTATGAGTAATTTTTTATTTTTTTCTCTTAATATAATATAAGTACGGAATATCTTTTTTCTACTAGTTTATTATATAATAAACATTTATATTAAAATTCTAATTATATTCCGCATCTCCATAACTAAAATTGTGATAACTACTGAAATTTAGATTTTGTAATATATTTCCACATTTTCTTCGATTCATCCCGTTAATTTTGTTTCAGTAGATTTTTGCGCGACATTGCGACAAATATATATAGTTATTCTGTGTTACCAATACGCATTTAAGTTTTATTAAAATATTAAAGTCGTAATAAATAAACAACGATGGCACAGACATAAACAACGATGGATTTGTTTTTCGTGTGAGAGACAAAGCCGCATTAGAAAGTAACCGACTTTTGAGTGTCCAATTTTTATCGATAATGGAAAATTGCGGAGCATGATGTCATCTGGGTCCCACTCCTCTTTTTGAATAAATTCACGCGGTTTTGCTTTTTCTTCCTTTTCGCTTCTCACCACACAACCCTTCTTCGATGCACCTTTTACTAAGGCTTTGTTTGGATTTGAAGATGAAAAAAGAGGAGTAGAAAAGAAAAAATTTAAAAGAAAAGTAGGTGGAAAGTGAGGTTGTTTAGATTAAAGGAAAATAAGTAGAAAATGTAAAGAAAGTTTGTGAAAGTTTGTGAGTGAATTGATTGATATGATAGATAAAAAAAATTTTAATTGATAATTGTGTAAGATTACTATTTTGTTCTTAGATTAAATTTTTTTTATAATTATTATAATTAAAATATAAATAAATAAATTTTAACTAAAAAAATAAATATAAAATATTAATTTAAAAATAATTTAATTTAAATATTTGCTTTAAATTTAATGATAGATAAAAATTAAAAATTTAATAGATGAATATATAATTTACACTTTTACTCTTGGATTAAAAATGAGTATAATATTATTTATTGTAAATAATAATAATTACAATAAAATTATATTAATAGGTATAATTTATTAAAAAATTAATAATAATGAAAATAATAATAATAATAATATTTATAATAATAAATAATAATAATATATTATGATAATTATATTTTCAACATTATTTTATTAATGTTTATGAAAGTGTTAATTGTACAAGTTAATTAATGTTTTCTATCTTCTCACTTTTATATATATATATATATACATATATATATATATGAAAACTCTTATTTATTAACAAATTAATGCGACCAGAACGGCCCGTTTCGAATCCGGAACGGTCTTTCTGGCGTCATTTTTATGCTAAAATTTGATACTCAGAACGACCTCTGTTCATACTAGAACGGCCCGTTCTTAAATTGGAACGGCCCGTTCCAAAAGTGGAACGGGCCGTTCTGATTTCGCATATTACTCATAAAATTGATTTTTGGAACGGCCCGTTCTGGGTTCGCCTAGAAACGAAAATACCCTACCATAATTGATTATGCAAACCACATAATCGATTATGTCCTCAGATAATCGATTATGCAAGCCACATAATCGATTATGTCCTCAGCATAATCGATTATGCAAGCCACATAATCGATTATGGGCTTGCATAATCGATTATGTCCTCAGCATAATCGATTATGCAAACTCATAATCGATTATGTGGTATGCATAATCGATTATGCTTCGTTCCTCCACAGTCTCTGCATGCATGGGACAGGGGTATTATGGAATTTTCTCAAATCTTACATGGCTTTCATCTCTTTTCTTCGCAAAAATGCGAAGACGCCCAACGCCCCTTCTCCCTCTTTTCTTCGCCTTTCTTTCCTCGTAAATCAGTAGTTTCTTCGCCTTTCGTTCGTCGTGAACAGTAAATCAGCGAAAATAAACATTACCTAAAGGAAAATCATCAAATGTTCCGAATAATTAAAATAATAATTTAAATTATAAATTATTAAATTAAATAATTATTTTATAATAAATTTATTAAATAAATATTAATTTTTTAATAATCGGAGAATGATTCTGAATAATGTTACAATGATTTTAATTTTATATAATTAAAATTGCTAAAGTCGGTTTAAATATTATACCGTTAGTATAAGTGTAAATGATATTTTTGTATCGTTAGAAACAAGTTACAATGTGATGATGATAAAATTAAGATGAAGGTCATGAAACTATGATGGAAAAGTTATTGTAGGAGACAAACTCTGACTATTAACTTTTAAATGTATGGTTTTGATTTTTTTTATTGTTTCCTTTTTTCTATTTTTTTTCTTTCTAATTTATCCTCTAGATCATTTTATCCATTTTATTTATCTTATGCCTCAATAACAACTTATGCTTTCACTACGAGAAATTGTATAATATTTTAATTTGAAAAATGTATTTGAGATAATTTAACGGTTGTTTAAAGTTAATGTATTACAAAAGTATAATCTCTTTTTTTTATTTTAAGTTGGGAATTTTATATTTGTTCTTTGATCTTCATGCACCTCTAAATTTCTAAAATTTTGTGGACTCTTAAATTTTTAGAATTATGTAAAATTTATAATTTGTCTAATAATAAATATTATATTTTAGTATTTAATCATAGTTATAGATGATTAGATTTTGTGTCAAATAAATATAAGTTTTAAATATGCTAAATATCAAATTATTTTATAAATAAGGATATGATTGATGAATGGGATATTTGTCGAGTCATCTGATTAAGTTCTTTCGATCAAACTCTCTTGACAAAAATAATTAAAAGAAAAGTACAAATTTAGATATAAAAATTTCAATCACAAAACTTTCAATCACATTATAAATCATATAAGTATCATGGAAATATATAAACTGTGTCAAAATCATAAATCAAAGAACATATGCAATATTAGAATTTTCATGATTTTACTCTGCCATATTTGCAAGTAACCCTCTATCATCAACGACCCTCTAGGTGAATTCATTTTCATCATACTCTACTCTAAACACAAGATTGTGTGTGTGGAAGAACATATGTACAAGATTTTGATGATGCCAAAGCAATTGTAGAAAACAAAAGGTCAAGATAAAGCAAGTTGATCAAAGAGCAAAATTTCAAATAATATCTAGATAAGTCTTGACTACTTAGCTTAATATGTAAAATGAACTTTTAAAAGTATTGCAAATTTTACTTGGCCATTAAAATTATAATTTCAAGAAAACCTAAACTTAATCTTTTTGAATTTAAGAATAAGTTGTTTGAAAAGAAAACAAAAAGAGTGTTCAAAAGGATTTTACAAAAATATTTTTGACTGAAAATTAGAAGTTTCCTACAATCAAAAGTTTGTGTAACAAATATAAGAATATTTGTCTGGTAATCGATTACTAGAGCAAGGAAACTTCAAAGTTTGAATTTTGAATACAAAATGTGTTCTGGTAATCGATTACCAGTCATTGTAATCGATTACCAGTCATTGTAATCGATTACCAGAAGATGAATCTTCAAAAATTCGAATTTAAAAGATACAATGTTTTGAATTTTTTGAACTTAAAA